GTCAAAAACTTTGATTTTTATTCTTTGTAACTCTAAATATTTCTTAATCCCATGATAACTACCGCGAAGTGTCATACATATTCATATTATTGTAGGTGAGATAAAATATTTGAGAAATTTAGAGATTCTGTGACCAAGCCGACCATTAATATTCTGTCATTACCACGAGGAAACGCGCTTCAAGGCCATCTGTTGGGTTGTGATGGCCCTGCGGGACGGGAAACAACAGTATTACCCAAAAAATAGAAAATATATAATACTAATTAAATATTAATACGTGAAAACCAGAACGATATAAGTGACATTTTATAAATTCAGAGATATCTGTTTAAGTCAGTATTGGTGTAAAGTCGTCGTGCTTTGTTTCGTCATTAAAACAACGGCATTTCCACAAAAATGCATTGCTACTGAAATAGATGCGAAATAGATAACACGTATAGAGACAATACGTGACACGGCGATATAACGGGATACACTTCAAGCTAACGACCCTAGTAGTCAGAATGTCATAACCATTGTGATATTAAGTACGAAGTGTTAAATTTTGAATTTTTTTTTAGTTTTCTTACGATGTTTACTTACGTTATTGCACATGCATTGAAGCTTTGCCCATTTTCCCGGTCACGTCACTATATTTGCTAGTGAGCAGTTGTCTCCCATTAAAGTATTAGAAAGGTTCAAAATGTCCTCTGTTGTGTACATAGTATTTGGTAGCGCTTCGCTGCGCCCCGTAGGAACGTAATGAACGCCACCTGATGCCCAAGCAAATGTTACCGGCAAGAGGGAAGTTACTAAGTAAATTATTGATTGATTGATTAGCGTTTCCTGGCGCGTCAACGGCTAAAGGTCATTAATCCCGTAAGTATGGTGCATGTTTAGTTTCGGCGGTAGCTGTTATTTTATCCCGCTAGATGACAACATCCACCGCTAATCAACACGATGGCTGGTGTTGTATCTCCAAACGGGTATCTCCCACTAGCAGGGAAACGCACCAGTCGGAACCAGTTCTAAGCTCCGGAATGATCACACGTCAAGTGTGATGGTGTAGTGCATGTAGGTAAGGGGTGAGGATAGGGCGATTAAGATCGCGCGAGCTCCGTTTGTAGGGGTATTGGTCCACCATTCGCCTGATGTAGATCGGGAAAAAAACACGGAAAACTACCGATCAGAGCAGCCGGCCGCTAGCATTCTCCCCCAGCCAGCTGCTGAACACGACCTAGTCATCTACCTAGTGTCAAAAATCCTGAGACACGATGTCCTGAGACAGCAAAGCCTGTCTAAAAAAATTGCACTGTTCACGTTTAACATGCAAATCATTGTGATGATGCAAAGTAGGAGTAACGTGTGAAAAGCCACAACGCACAGGTAAACAACCATATTCACACTAACACAAACCCGCGAACCTGATACCAAGTCACCACTTAAACCATGCCTTAAAGGCATTGGGCGGCCTACATTATTTTAAGCAATTTAGATGTTCCTAGAAAGATTAACTTCAGTAATTTGCTAGTGTAAATAGTTGTCTAATGAAAAATGTTGTGTTATGTATATTAATACAATTATATGAAAAATAATTTGTGTGTGCATACAATACCTTGAAAGACTTAAAAACTCGATTAATAAATTAAAAAACAAAACAAATTTATATCTGAAAGACTATTCCCCGTATGGTCAGTGTATTCCTATTCGTTTTTGTATTAAACAATTTGATGTGTGTTTGCAAATAACTCTCGTATACGTAAATAATACGGTAGCCGTCTACCTCAAAATGATAAAAAAATCGTGACATTTCATCCATTTTAATTTTTATCCAGTCGTGAGCTTTGATTTATTTTCTTTTAAAAGCTTTAAACCATTTCTTTCTACGTCTCTTAGTTTTTGAGCAATTTTTTTTTTTCGAATTGAGTGTCAATTGCCATGTAGAGTGAGTGAACTTCAGATGTATTTTTCCGAATTTGGAGTTTTCAATACATACATGCATGTCAAACATCAACCATTAATCATAAAAGATAATTATATAATTCTTTTTGCAGCATGCCACCCATGATTTGCTCTAGAGAATGAACTAGAATAATGTGTCACTACGTTTCAGTTAAATGAACTGAAATGTCCAGAGTAAACATGAAATAATTATTTTTTCTCTGATTATCAAATCCTATCTTTTTAGTTTTCGCAGTACTTTTACTATTCGAGTTCATACCGTAGAAACTAGATTAGTAATTAATGTACAAAAATAATTATAAAAATACATAAACTTGTAAGAAGATTGTGAAGTAAAACCTATGGTTCGGCCAATTATTTATAAGCAGATAATGAAAAATTTCTTTACAAAAAAGATTTGATGTCTAAGAGCATATAGAAATAAATCGTTAATAAAATATTTCTAACGTCACAAAAGGCGTATAAAGCATCTCAATGTCGGAATTTTTCAATTGCTTGGTTAGAATCTATTCAGGGTGATTCAGTCCTTTTTGCACATATAGGACCCTGTGATAGAGTACATTAAGTTAATCACGTGCAAATGAAAATAGTGTGAACCCTATTTAATTTTTTTTAAATAAGTTTTTTGTCAGGTCATTTTTTACATAAAGGTAGCCCAAATATTACATTAAAAATTGTTCCCTGATGTTATTATTACATACTTATCCAATGAGTATGAAAGGAGAGGGAAAAATTATTTTTAACTGTTATTTAATATCATTTATTATTTGCGTCCACAGTCGTAATTTCTCATTTTCACCTCGTGTAACAGGGGCTCTACAAGGGTTCAAAATATCCTCCTCTTGCGTGAACGCAAGATTGGCATCTGTGTCACATGGCCTCCGTGACGCCTACAACTCTGCCAGATCGTCCCTTTATTTCTGCCGCCACGCTTTCAAAGCCCGGAAGACCATGAAAATTCACGACTTCAATAACATATACGCGGTCTTTCATTAACCACGACAAAAAAATAGTCCACCAGATTTAAATCCGCGGCCGTGCTATTAGGACTTTTTATTCGATCAGGAAAATCAGGTAATCTAGGTATTCTCGAACTCCGTGATAATAAGAGGGGTGCGCTTTCATGCTGGAACTACATCTGTGCTCGTACATTCAACAGGACGTCCTCCAAAAGCGTAGGGAGTACCTGAGTAATAAAATTGAGACACTGAACGCCTCTCAAACACTTGGGTAAGAAGTGAGGGCAGACTGTAACTTCATCCACAATGCCAACCTACACTATGACAGAGAATCACTCTTGGTGAGCTATGCGACGTACAACATGTGAATTTTTCTCGGCCCACAAATGCAAATTATGCGCATTAATTGTTCCAATTCTTTTAAAATACGCTTCACCTGTTCAAAGGCTGTTTCAGAAATTCCTGGTTTTCCTTGCATTTTGCGCAGGAAATGCCTCGAGTATTCAGAACGACGTAAGTTTCTACTACGCAAATACTGCACCCACTGTAAATGGAAAAGTCGTAATCTCTCTGCATGAATTGTTCGCCAAGTAGCTTTCATGCGTAGACCTCGGCACTATTTGCCTTGCGCTTGCTTTCGGGGCTTAGTGGATAATATTAATTTCTGAGTTTTCCTCAGAAGTGGTGAGCCTTAACGCGAAGTACAACCGCTCGCTCTCTTGCTATAGCCTGTTTTACATGAGCACAAGCACATAGTGCCAAGTTTAACGATAATTATTCACAAAACTAAACGACGAAGAGTATCCAATTTTGGCAAATTCAGTCATTACATATGAGTTATGTCTCTGGGGTATTAACAACGAAGACTGAATCATGATGTATGCCATCCTTCGTAACTCCGAAGAAAATGCTTAAAAATTGAAAACGGTTTTGGATTCGTTGTATAAATCAGCATAACACTTTTCAAATTTTCATGATTCTTTTATTTATATATACAGAGGATGGAGGGAATTTATAAAACTTTTACTAAATATTTTTAAGATCTGAAGTTGATAGCTAATCCACGTAGAAATTGCTAATATAATGAACACGACTAAAATATTGATGACGGCCACAACTTTTATTTAAAATAATCGCCCCCATGTAGTAAGTATCGACCTCTTGGGTTCGATATGGACATTATTAGGAGCCGAAAGCTCCGATTACGTATGTAGCTTTATGAAGGGTCAAAATATAGTGGTTCTCGCTCTGATTCGATAATAAATATTGCATATAATAATGTTGTATGAACGACTTTGATATTTTTTAATTATTTATTAACAGGTGAATAAAACAACTCCTTTATATCAAGTTAAATATTTAATACTGTACAATATCTATTTATTATGAGTAAACAAGGTAAATCTGTTACGGATCAAAGACAATAATTTTTGCAAAAGACATCTGCAACCAAACAAAAGTGGGAAACTTTGATTTTGTAGTAGTTCATGGCAGTGGGTTTGGGGTGTGGTTCTTTCCGTGACTGTTAATGTGATATCCTGCAACGTTAATAAAATAATTTAAAAAAATTCTAGGCCCCATTGATAATTACTCGTACATGCAGTAAATAGCAGGTTACATACAGGAGTATTTATTACATTTAATTTCAATCAGGTGATTTTCAGGAAGGGAAAATTACGCATACTGTTGGCTGACTCGAGAGCTGACAAGGATAAATCATGGGCTGTTCCATAGAACCGGATTGCCAGGAATGCATCCACACATTACGACGTAAACACATATTTTTCTTTCGGAGGGAAGAAGAGTGATCGCGACTTACGAAACGTCAACTTCACATGCGTTTCTTTCCCCCATTAAGCGTTTGGCTCCCTTCGCAAACAAATTTGTTCCCCGGGGGAAAAAAAGAAGCCGACGAATGGCGGCGCGTGTTGTGACGGAGTGGGACAGGGGAGTCGAGTCGACCCCCCTCACTCAAAGCCCAATTTCCCCCCGCGGGCCGCCGGACGGACCTCCGCCGGCGGGGCGCGTAAACATGGAAAGGTTCCCGGCCTTGGGCGCTGGTACTTAGCCGGCGGGGCGGGCGCGGCGCCCCCCAGTCGCCCAGGCAGTGTCATGATCGGAAGGCTTTCGTCGCCCGCGCGCGCCGCGGCGCTCGCCGCCCTGCTGGCCCTCGCTGGCCTGCCGCTCGCCGCGCCCAACCTCACCAACGTCCGCGACTGCGGTGAGTGCTCTGCACTGGGGACGCCACCTCGCCCAACCTCGAACACACAGAGGTGCAAAATTAAAGCGTCCGTGTTAGTAATACATCGAGCAGAAACAGTCGATGTTGTCAAGGTGGTTTAGTAACCTCTTAATATTACATTCGTACACAACAAAATTTTATTTCATAATGGCCGAATTTATAACTACGATTTAACTGACAACAATTAATAATAATAATAATAATAATAATAATAATAATAATAATAATAATAATAATAATAAACATTCTGTGCGCTCAGTGTCATCTCACAGGACTAATTCTCAGTTCGCCGAAGAAGTGTAGGGGAAGCTAGGGGAGGCCCTAAGCCTACGGCGCATGCGTTGGTCGCCTCTCAAATGACTAAACATGAGAAAAGATGTAGGGGTTCCGTGTTTGATAGCGACTCCGACCACGTCAATTATTAGCGCCATAAGTCCCATGAGTGTAGTGCATGATTTTGCTCGGGAGGTATCGGTGGTCTTCCTCTGCTGATGGTGACATCCGTCGCCGACATACTTCGGCTAATGGGTTTTCCCTCAACCAGGTATCTCCCACCAGCGAGACACCACCCCAGTCGGGACAAGCTCTAAGCTCTGAACCCGTTTTCCAGCGTCTGTGGTAATGTAGTGTGTGTAAGGGGTAAGGATAGCATAAGGAAGAGGTAGGAAAGACGCGCGCGGTCAGTAGCCAGTTACTTCTCCGGAATTCGCCCGGTATTGATCGGAGAAACCACGGAAAACTACCGATCAGAGTAGAGTAGCCGGCCGCTACCATTCTCCTCCAGACAAACTCGACCTAGTTTACAAACTAGTACCGAAAATTCTACCACCGTCGGGGCTCGAACCTAGGACCTCCCGGTCAGAGGGACTGCAGTGAAGTCTTAGAGAATACTATAAAGGCACCGGAGATATCTCGGGCGAGAAATATAGTCTGTTCAAAGAAGATGGTACAAGCGTAAAGGTTTATAAAAACTTAGCTTTCGAATGTAAAAACGAGACTATCACTTACTTCAGCATGTTTAAACTTCTACAAAAGTATGATCATGGAAATATTCCATTCGCAAATAAAACATTGAAAACTCAAAAGCCTTGATCATTAAACAAAGATGTCCGAAAAACGCCGGCTTCAATAAATCGATGTTCTAAAAAAAATCAATGTTTCTATAAAAACATCCATGTTTAGAAAACATCGACCTCGAAAATGTGTCCTTATAGTGCTGCACACCAGCGTTTGTGTAGGCCAGCCAGCCATTTCTTTAAACATTCTAAAACACTTGATCGCCACATTGTCCTACGAAATGTATTCAGCCAAATGAGCGCAAGCTGTTAATTCTTCAGTGTGTCCGTTCAGTGCACCGAGATGTTAGGGAGAGTTATCACGAATAATTTAGTTTGTTTCGATATCGTCACTAAATATAATATTGTAAAAGTTAATACATATCTGGTGGAAAAGCAAATGATAATGTGTAAATTAAGTCATCAAATGGATGTAAATGGACAGGGCGTGTATATCTAATTACAAAGAGCCTGCTTTGTTGTCTTTCATCACGCTTTTAATGCGAACTAGGGTAATGGCGTGTAGTTGCAGTTAACATAGCTATTTCCATAATCATCTTTAGAGGAATAACAGCTTTCCTCACGTCTGGAAAAGAAAGTTGGACATTTGCATTTTTAGACAGTTCTGTGGTTGTAGTGAAAATCGAAAGAGTAAAAATGTGTTTACACATTGTTACTATTTGACTCAAATTTGCGCATAACAACACATATTTTGAAAAAATTCAATGTAACACTTCAATGATCTATTTTCGAAAAACTGATTTCATGTAGAAAATAGTGGTGCTAAAACAGCGTACTTTCTCGCCCGTATTTTCACACAAAAATACGCGAAAAGTAATAGTATTAGTATTTTACTATCAGACTGAAAAAGGAATTATTTCTGCAACTGGTGAGAAATTAAAAAAAATATCAGCGAAACGTAACAGTAAGCTACCACCCTCTAACCCCATGTAACACAGCGTAACGTGGCTTCAAACCCCCTCCTTCCCCTTTAGTGTTATTAATTTATGGACGACCAATATTTCGGCATGAAGGACACACTAAACTTCTACAACTACACCGCTCATTGGAATAAGTAATTTACTACGCATAAGAACAATAATTACATACTTTTTCTGTATCAGAGAAGTATAACACGATTTTTTCTTCCTGAAAAATTCCCGCTTTTCGCTGTAGCATTACTTAGCTTTGTCTATCTTACGTAAGAAGTATGCGAGAAAGTGAAATCTGCCTTTATCGTAGATGTTGTCTTCCTGACATTCACAGACCGAATTTAGAGCTCTAACGATCTCATTAATATTAATTTTGTTTCCTCCAAACAGATATCTATTACATAAAAGTAACGGTATGCATTCTTGCGTGTCACAAAAACATAGAAACAAGTGGTGTGATTGATCTGAAATTTGGAACTAGTAATTTTCAGCGGCCAAGACCAAACATAGAATAGTTACGATTAAAAATGTTACCCCCCCAAAAAATGTTTTTTAACATTACCTTAAGTGCAATGCCAAATGCATCCTGGAGACGTCGGCTGAGACGGAACGAAACCAAACCGTCGGCTGAGACGGGACCGGATGGAGCGGACCAATCGTGGGAAACTAGGGATGGAAAAAAATGGATTTATTAAAAACCTCGATATTTTCAAGCAGAAACATCGATATTATAACATCGATGTATTGTTTTCGATGTTTCCTGCACTTCGATATATTTGTTCAAAAACACCGATCTCTTCAAAAAAATTGTCATGATATAAATAAAACTTCCAGTGTATTTTTTAGGGGAGAATTGCTCTCAATGAACAGCTATTGACAAAGTTGTCAATGTTGCTCTGTTGCAACAGATGCAGTGTCCAGCAGTTGCCACTGTTGTCGATCCCCAGGCGTCACGAATACCGTTTGCTATTCGCAACCTTTCTCCAGTGGTGTTACCTTTTTAGATTATTTTGTACGTCGTAATATATTAAAATTCAATTTAAACCTTGATTAAAAAATTAAGAGGTCAGTCAAATTTATGGCGGAATATACTTTAAACTAATATTGACGTGTTATGTATCAAATTAGAAACAAAGCATTTTACTTCTAAATGTTTCATCATATTTAAAACATCGATGTTTTTGGTTGATGTTTTCGTCTACATCGAAAACTATTTGGTGACGTATCGATGTTTTGATAAACTTTTCCATCGCTAGGCGGATACGGGAGGGCGGGTGGGGCGGAAGGAAATAGAGAAGCAAAAGGAAATGAAGTAGCTCCGTAAAGTTACAATAGCGAAGTTTTCAAAATATGTTCAGATTAAACTCGAAATTTGTAGCTTTTTGTTGCAAATTTGTTACACAAAATAAATTTTGTCTCTCTTCATTCGACCCTGTTATTAAACATTCGGTTAACTTGATATCAAGTTAGCACCACAATGAAAAGAAAACCAAGAAATTATACATAATAATAGATAATAATTATACATAATAGAAATTGTACATAACAATAGATAATAATTATACATAATAGAAATTATACATAATACAGAGATAAATAAAACATAATTACATTGGATTTTGAAATATTTTGTTGCTGAATACTTCCCAAAAAAGTAATTTGGTTTCTCTTCGACTAATACCAGAAATGCGAAATTTCGACAAATTCCTCAAAACCAACGTTTCAAGGAAACTTTCCATAACACTTTCCATAAAGGAATTTTGTTCATCTTTAAACAATACCAGAAATGTAATTTTCCGCAAACAATTATGTCAAGTTTGCATCACAATCGCAGGAAAACCAACAAATTACGGAGATAAATAAAAAATAACCAAACATTAAATGTTCGCTTTTTTGTTGCTCAATACTTCCTCTAAATACCCCATTCATGAGGTGTAAACGAAGGATTTTATTTCCACAATTGAACAATAACTGATCACTAGAATCAGATTAGCGAAACAACAGTTTGTCTCTTTGTCTCTTGATTTTTTTTCTTTTTTGGGAAGTATTGAGCGATAAGAAAGCGACAGATTCCCATGTAATTATTTTTTATTTATCTCTGTCGTTTCTTGATTTTCTTGTGATTGTGGAGCTAAGTTGACATCAAGTTACAACGGGGTTTGCAAAAAATTACATTTCTGGTATTGTTGAAAGTGTAAAAAACTTTTTTGGGAAGTATTAAGCAACAAAAAAGCGACAAATTCCCATGTAATTTTTTTATTAATCTATGTCATTTCTTGGTTTGTTTTCTTGTGATTGCGGTGCTAACTTCACATGATGATAGAACCCCGTTTACGGAAAATCATATTTCTGGAATTTTTTGAAGTGTAACAAAATTTATTTTATGGAAAGCGTTGAGCAACATAAACGCGACAAATTCTGATGCAATTATGTTTTATCTTTGTAATGTCTTGCTTTTCTTGTCATTGCGTAGCTAACTTGATGTCGTTAGCCGAATGTTTAATAACAGGGTGAAATAAAGAACGACAAAATTTTTTGCGTAACTAATTAGCAGCAAAAAAGCAACCAATTTGAAGTTTAATTTCAATATTTTTTGAAAACTTCGCTATTGTAACTTTACTGAGCTGGAAGGAACGGGCAGAACGAAAGAGAGTAGGTGGAACGAAACAGCGAAACGAGCGAAAAAATTAGGGTAGAGGAAAGAACGGAAGAAGCAGGCGGAGAGGGATAAGAAGAAGGAACGGACAGAGGAATGGGCTGAATCAGGGGGGTTCCGATGGTGGTCTATTAAATTTTGAAAGGGGTCAACGGTGATCAAGGGGTCGATTGGGAGTCTATAGCGAAATAAGAAACGGAGATTGATATGTAAATTCAAGATCTCAATGATTACACAAAAAGTTAATGAACTTGATATTTGTCTGATATAAAATAACACATCATATAATAATTAATGGCAAATTCGCTCCTCTTTTTAGTATTCATCGTTCATCCTTAGAATCATGGGAGTAGCTAGGCTGGTGCAACCTTTCCGTTCGCAAATTCAAAGGCCCTTAATAAGAAGTCCCAGATGGATATCGGCATAAAATAAAGCAAATCGCATTCCATGCATATTTTCTCCATTGCACTACCCATATTCTTGTAGCAATTAAATAAAAAGATATTAATTTCACTTTTATTGTAGATAAGGGCTCCATTTCGACTTTCTGCGCCGGGGCATCTGAGAACCTAGCTACACAACTTCTTAGGTTGTGTAGAAAACTGTACTCTATCGCGGAAGAAAATATCTTCTGTACGTACTGGATAAATGTTATGTCTATTTAAACAACGCTCAACATTTTGTAACCATTGTAGAATAATATTAAAAACTCAGCAAGTCAGTGAGGATCTTCTATGATTAAAAATGTAGATCTCTACCAAAATATTAGGGTACCTTATTGTTTTCTTTAATACATTTATATGCAAATCTTTCTGATATGATTGGGTATGCTCTATAATTTAAAGAACAACGTAAGGGTCAATGGAGCAATTTATTCTTTTAAAAGGGGACAATGAAATAAAAAAGGTTGGAAATCCCTGGACTAGAAGGACAGGGCTTAGATGAGAGTAGAACTGCCATGACAGATCGCATAGGGCGTTTTTTTTGGAGGGGGGAGCTCTCGGGGCTTGCGAGGCAGCTTAATATGTGATTGTGGTAAATACCCGGGCTACGTCGGGTAATCAGCTAGTTATTTATTAATTAAAATCTTTTGTTCTCACACATTTGTGATTATTCGTTTAAGATATGAATATAGAATGTATTTAATGCGTATTTATCAATACACTTACGGAAATTATTTGCAATTTTTTTATTATTTTACATATTTAAATCATGTTTTTTTACTTTCATGTACGAAATTTTGTGTCCTTAAATGACAAACTGAATTATTATATAATTTGAGAATGAGAAAATATGGACAAATATTTTCGTAGAATAAAATCAGTGATACGATGTGGCATACTTTAAAAAGTATTTTCTAAAGCTAGAAAATAATTCGGCCTGAACGACGCAAAGTTTAGCGGTTGATGAATTTGTGAAAAGTTTAATATTAAAATATAACTTTGCACATTAACATCAAATTCATAAATATAATATTTTGAGAGATTAATATTTTAAAGAATTTAAATTTATCTCAAAGAAAAAATATTGTTAAAGTATGCTCCATACGAATAAAGTACTTGTATAATGTTAAAAAATTTTCCATCATAGATCGTTGGCATTTGGCCCGTTAAATATGTGTTTCCGCCGCTCAACTCCTCTTCTATTTATTCGCAAATGGGATTGGTACAAGAGACGTCATCTTCGCTCTGGTTCAGACCTGCCCAACGAGCTGGACTCAGGGCATCACGGTTTTGCAAACGCGGGGTCATGGGCTTCCTCCTCTTACCGTTCTACCCAGCGGGCGGCCTTCTAATGTGCAATAAAGTCGCGTTTTCGGTAGTGAACTGAAGACCATTGGCCATGTGTTCCTGAAAACCAGCTGCCAGAGATGTTACCGAAAATCCTGTATACAAAACCAGCGGAAAAATGAGGGTTTTTTTTGGGGGGGGGCCTGAATACTGAGAGAACATTTTGAGACTATGCGTCACGTTCCACAAACTGTGGCGGCAGCCTCTTCTACAAACCTCGTCTCCCCAGAAATGACCTTGAAGTATTGCGACATGAAGATCGTTTTGGCAAAGGTAATCGATGAGTTAGGCTGTACTCCGTTTTCAGAGGACCTTTAGGTACGATCTAAGGATATCCTTTTAAACTACATGCCTTGCTTCGTTCATAATATCGAAAAACATGAAAGTTGCGATAAAAAAGCAGGAAGTCTAATCAAATGCGGACGATGCACATTTTTTCGAATATTTGAATTTTAAGTGTAACGAAATATAGTAAAGTGTAGTGAAAATGTATTGTTAATTCTCAGATTAGGGTACGGTTCACGTAAAAGAACGAGAACTTTAATTGCATTTATTCAATACACTGCAATAGCGAAGCATTTCTGGGATCGCTAGTTTCCGGGCAAAAAAAAAAATATTTTGGCAATGACGTCACTTCGGAGACTTTCTGATCGCACAGTAGAAATACGTGCCTGCGCAGAAACGAAAGTCAATCCAAGCTTTACATGTCGCAAGATGGTTAGGTGTGGTGTTCCTGATTCCCCGGCACGCTCTGAGTGCCATTGCACGAAAGCATGGAAAAAGTACGTTTAACGATACTGCTAGTGGTGCATTGTATGCAAATTGTTATATCGCATGACACCGTAGAAAAATAATGTTCGTAAAACTACAACACTGATTTCTTGGAATAAATGTCAAAGGAAAAACGGAAAGTAAGGAAGAAGTTCAAGTATTTGACGAGAAGGTTATGTAAAGAATTGATCACCTTCGGTCTCTATGTTCTTACGCGTCAATTCTTCATCGGGACTCTTGAAATTAACCGACTGTTACTAGTCGCTGAAATCTGTTTCTGTGAAAAATCACCGGATATCAGGTGATGATTTTATCTGTTCTTTCCAATCATCTCCAACTGTTCGTGGTCTACATAGATAATCAGAAATGAACATCAGAAAACTACTTACGAAATACTAAGAAACAACCTTTTGCTTTGATCCGTTCTTTACAAATAGTACGAAATATGAACAAAAAACAAGACGTTTATTTTAATTACTAATACATGATTATTTATAAAGAAAATTACAAACACTTATTCTAAAGAATAAAATTATATTAATGATTGTAAATTAATAAAAAAACCGCTCCTCTTCAAATTTTAGACATTCATATATATTCACACTTATACATAGTTCTGATTTTAGTGATAAACTACATTATATGTTAGCGTGACGTGACGGCTATTATCTTGTAGCCATCTTCAGATACCTAGTTTAAAAAGAAAAACATACGCGCATTTTTCAAAATTTTATTATAATAGAGTCAAAACATAAGATCTACTTTATATTAATGGATAACAGAGAATTACTTGAAGTTACAATAAATTACCAATCAAACGTCATATACTTAAGGTTGCATCATTTGTTTAATTTATATACATATATATATATAATCAAACTTACCTTGCTTTAACTAGAGTTAGAATGTAAGTTATAACTAGTCTACACTATTAACATTTTAACATATATTTACAAAACCATATAAACACTGTAAAAGTGGGATTTCTTCCTCTCAGTTCTGTTAGTCTGTGAGAGAACTGGAGACGATATCGAGCAAAAGTATTGTATTTCAACCGTCAAGGAAGGGGGGACCAATGAGGAAGAAAGATTAATTTTGTTTTTTAAAATATAAAAAAAAGTTCTCATAATTCCAGTGAAGGAATTGGATTTCCAATTTTAACGTTAATTTATTGTTTTGTTAATTTATTTAATGTTTCGTGTAGTTTTATGTGCAACGTCTCTGACACAATTCTCCGTGCCCTTCCTCCGTTCTTTGTCCACAATCTGTGAGAGACTCTGCATGACTCTTTCGTGTTTATTTCTCGAGACCGAGTTTAGCTTTTTAGTAATGGTTATTTTATATTCCTTTGATGTTCAGATATTTTCTGTTTAAGTTTTCTTATGGTCTAACCAATATAAGCTTTGGGGCATTGAGTACAATTAATTTTATATACAATTTTCTCAATCTTATCTTTGCTACTTTTAATAACGTTTTTTGATTAGAAGCTTGTCTAACAAATCTATTTTTTCCTAGTGGAAGATATTTTATGAATGTACGGGTAAATTTGGTAATGTAAGGAATAACAATATTCATAGAATCAGCAGATTTTGAAATTGTAGAACGTTTTACCTACCTAAGAAAAGAAAGTCTTCTTTAAACTAAGTTTTCAATAATTTTAGGAAGATTATCATTAAGGGATAGTATGGACTTCACAATCTGGTTAATTTGGTAATGGAATTTATGATCAGAAAACACAATAGCTCTGTTAATTAAATTATATGCAACTATTGACTGAAATTTATATGCAACTTGTTGGCTGAAATAGTGTTTAAAACTAATTCGAAGTTCTTCCTTTATTTGAATGTTTTCTGTAACAATTAGTAAAAATAATTTCCTTTCCTCTAATGACAGAAACGTCCAAAAATTTTAAAATATTATTTTTTTCAAATATATCTTTCTTTATAATGAGGAAGGTGTCATCAAGGGCTACAAGGACATGCTAGATGGTACTAACCGACGCGTCGCCCTAACGTATAATGTAGTTTATTAAAATCACAATTATGTGTAAGTGTTCATAAATCGGAATGTCTAAAATTTGAAGAGGAACTGTTTTTCAATAATAAGATTTTAGACATTCATCAAGAGAAGAAGTTAAAAATTAATGATTGCAATCTCTTAAAAACGGTTTCAGCATCAATTAATTTATAAATTGCAGAATAAAATTAACAACAATTTTTGGTAAAACACGGAAAAGGAATAATTTAACAATATTCCCGTTTAATAATAATTGCTTAATAACTTTTTTTCTTTATTCTTATTTCACAGGTTCCACAAGTAAAGTCATAGATGCAACAGTTGCCGACTGCGAGGAAGCTCCTTGTCGGGTCGAACGAGGAAGCAATGTCACTGTCAACATTATCTTCCAAGCAAGTAAGTGAACGTTTTCGAAGAACTCACCAATATACACAGGCAGGGAGGTCTAACATTTCAATAATTGGAGATAAAAATGAATGTTATACGTACTTGTGAATTCTGTGATAAATTTAAATTTATTACAAGTGGAGAAGACAAAGCTATCACATACTTCATACTTAAATGCATATTGGGAGGGGGTGCAAGTTATGAGTGTGTCTGTGTGAGTATACTGATAAAATGTGAGAGAATGTGTGAGAATACTGATAAAATGTAGAGTACAAATTATCAATTATCAGCACTATATTCTTAGCATATACCATACTTACTGTTCTTAAAGAAGAGATAAGTATCAGCATGAAATGAAACAAGACTTGTGTTACATCATATATTTTCTCGCATTATTTCTAGCTTTTCCAATTTTCGAAAATTCAGAGTGTTCAAGAATTAGACCAGTGCCATTTTTTTAAGCGTCCGTTTTTTTGACCGTGAAAACAATTAACAAAATAAATTTATAGTGCTTTTCGAGAATTTTTTTTTGTAATTTGCATTAATTTTAAGCATGAATTACGTAAATACCACCTGCTTTTCAGAACAGATTTTATTTAAGACAAAAATCTTCATCATCAGTATTTTACTTTTACAATGTTAACATCTGGCCAATTTTCGAAAATTCAGAGAATTCTCCAGTAATAAAAATGGCACTTTCTTCCCGGCCTTCGATTCAAACAATAATAAAATTTAAAGAAATATTTTGGAGACGTTTTTAAAATATAATTGTTTAACAATTGTCTAAATTTCACGCCAAATTACGGAAAATCTACTCATATTTTCGAAAAATTGTACATGACCTTATTTCAAGATCTGTGCTTTAACAACAGCTTTTATTAAGAATAAAAATATATCTTATCTTAAATATTTTAATTGTAGAAACTCTCCAAAAAATGAACTTTTTGAATTTACAAAAAACGTATTTTAACGAAAATTAGGAATGCTCCATTCATTTGAAAGTCTTAGACTATCCCAGGACAAAATTTGGACCCATTTTTGAAATTAATTTGAAAATGTTGAGGTTTTATGGTAAGTACACAAAAATTGAAATATCAATTTCAAATTCGCAGGGCCTCGAATTCCTTTAAATCTATCAAAAAATATCAATTTTAGATAAACAAGCCGGTACAGTTTTAGACAGAACTTGGACGGGCGGATGGAAGGACGAGCAGATGTTTTGACATCAATCGATTTTTCGACGTCAAGGATCCATAAAACATGATTTCTCACTACAGAATGTGTTAAAATAATTATTTCACAACTAAATTACAAGATCCATTTTTACATTTATCCATTATTTTGTTACCAGGATCGGGCAACAAGAGTTGTAAAATATCTCCGTTTTTCGGCACTCTATTGCAATACTTTCTCTTCTTATGAAGTAAGCCGAAGAAGTAAAAGTACCTTGATAGTATGATTTTTGTAGTCGTGAATTAGTTTACCACCTTCCATTAATTAAATTAAAATTTGATTGGTATAGCTATCCTAATATTGAGATTAGGTTATTTTGACCGCATAATGATAATCATCAGGACTGATTTGAAGTTAATTTTTTAGAGGAAAAATGTATGTTCTACTAGGAACAAATTATTCTACAAAAATAAAGGTGTAAGACCATATCTCTTTTCATATGAAATTTTCATATAACTTACAAATGCAAAAAAGGATCTCTCTTATTACTTGATTACATTGGTGGCGCTATAGAAGCACATACTTATAACTACATAAAATGAGACTTGTACCGTTCTTGTTTAGTTAGAATATTGATATACTAGTAAAATCATTAAGAAAATAAGATATGTAAGAAAATGCAGAAATAGATTCTTCGAGAGGCAAATGTAAAAAATTACGCTCCACCAGAGTAACCTCTTAAGCAAAGTTCTTTGTAACTTATCTCCCAATCCCACCTGCACTTATCATAATGTTCCACTCCTCTTTATCTTACACACCTGTGACATCTTAAATCACAACCACCTGAACTGTCTGGGAGCGTCGTGATTTTGTAACTCTTCACCAATACGAATTTTCTTTATTGATTGTGTTCCAATACTGGTGTTGCAAGCTCTGAGTGTCACTAGTAACCTATCGGTTTGGAATTGCTTCGAAAAGTGGCCTTGGATTTGTGACAAATATGGGGATTGATGTTTAAACTTTGTTTGAAAATTAAGATGTAATTTCATACTCAAAATGTTCAAAATGTTCTAAAAGTCCCGAGATAAGTAACTGATACGCTTTATCAAACAATAATATTAATGTATTGTAATATGCAGGAAAGGAAACAATAACGAATTATATTATAATAGGATGAAAGTTACAAATACACGTACACTGTCTAATTGTTTAAGACACTTGTTCCAATCCCTTATCTTATGTTAAATTCGAGTTTTTATGAACCAAAACATGACAGACATCGTCATTACTTACAATTTTCTCGCAAATGCATGAAAATACTTGAAACAGTGATAATGTACAAAAAATCTAAAATAGTACACAATTTACTACATCGCAAAGCTCGCCTACACGCTCTGACCTGAAATTTTAAAAAATTGACCTTCAAAGTTTAGTAGTCGATATTGCCAAGGCAATGTCAAAAATTTTGTAGAGGAGCGCAAATTCTCAGAATCTAAATATACCAAATGCCTTTCAGGAGCGGTGGATATAAATTGTAATGTACTATGTTTGTGCATTCTTATTGTGAATATACCAGGGCACGCCAAATAATCCATCATACAACACCCGCACTAAAAGCCTGTTAGTTCTTTTAAATTAATCATATATGTACAAAAGCCTGAGTGCATTCCCACAAAAAATGTCGTTAATTATTTCTTTAACAGTTTGACGAAAATGTAAACCCACAATTCACCCCACAGCCAAGTCAGGAACAATTCCTAGTGAAGTAAAGACTATATGTTTATTTAATTTTGGCAACGAAAAAACAATAATCGTCTGGATCCGCCTCTGTGAGCTTCAGTACACTTGTTACCGCGCCCGCGCTCAGTCTCTGCGATTTGATTGCGAGTTGCCTCGGCTCCCTGTTCGTCGCAGGCAACCTCACGGAGTCGCTGCGGCCCGAGGTGGTGGGCGTGGTGAGCGGCTTCGAGCTGCCCATCGCGGAGCTGGACCACGAGGACGGCTGCGACCGCCTGCTGAAGGGCGCCTGCCCGCTCGACGACGGCGACGAGGCCGAGTACACGGCCTCCTTCCTTCTGGATCCGCTCTTCCCCAAGGTGAGGCAACCGCCGCGCTGCTGGCTAATTTGGCGGGCGGATTCAGACTCACTCAAACCCGCAGGGGTGGCTCGGGGCATCATCTGATGTCACCACAATCCCTCTCACCGGAAGGTCCTAGGGCGCGAGTCCCAACGGTGACAGGATTTTTGACACTAGCTTCATAGCTAGGTCGAATTCAGCCCGCTGTCTGCAGAAGTAGTCTGGCGGCCGGCTTCTTTGAGCGATAGTTTTCCGCGTTTTCTTTTTTTTTTTTTTTTCGATGAACACAAGGCGAATGCCGGAGCAGTACCGTAACAAAAGGGTCACGGACTGCGCGCTATCTTTTCTTCCCGTTCCTTGTCCAATCCTCAACCCTCACTTAAACACACCGACATTTACATTCACTACACAACAACACGTATCTCGAGACCAGTCGGGGGCTTGAAGTTTGTCCCGACTGGGGCAGTGCCATGATACCTGGTAGAGGAAAATTCCCGCAAGCCGCCGAGATCGGGCCCGATCTCGCCATCCAGCAGGGAAAGATCACCACCACCTCCCATGATAAAAAACATGTACCGCATTTATGGGACCAATGACTTTGGCAGTTGCACCCACAATCATCAATCAATAAATTAATCAACCGGCTCACTCAAGACTTCTCGGTGTGCTAACCAACCCACATCTAGTTTTTCGTTTATCGTCCGGGAACTGGAAGTCATTCACTGACTTGCCTTGTTTATGTTTTGAAATATCTTGGCTTGACACCAAGTAAGTTGGTTCAGGGCAACAACTAGCCTCACTACAGCGATTCTAACCGGAAGGTTCTAAAATTCCAGCCCCGACAGTAGTGGATTTTCGACTGCAATTACAAAGATGGTAGATGGAATTCAGCCGCGAGCTGGACTGACTGTTCGTTTTCGTGGTATCTTCGATCGATATCAGTCGAAGTATCCTAAACAATACCGTGAGAGGTGTCTTAGGGCATCCACTGATGTCCTTGCCGTGTCTGTGACCGGGAGGTTCGAGGTTCGAGTTTTGACGGTGGCAGGATTTTCAACACTAGCTGACAAGCTCTCTGAATACTCTAACAAACGGTCCGCTTGCAATCTTTCCTTCCTCTTCCTTGACCTATCTTTTTACCCCTTATTTACACATACTTTAACATGCACTACGAATACTCTACCACACATGGTCGGGAGACCGATCGGGAGCTTAGAGTGTTCTTATAGTGTTGCGAAACAGAGAGATACAACACTCCAGTAAAGTTCAATAACCTTAAATACTGTAATATCTTTTGGGGGCATCAGTTAATCTTCCCCAAACTGAAATGGATTATCTATTTTTGCCGTGGCTGATAATCACAGATTCTAAACGCTACGAGTCAGCGGATCCTTGGATATATATTGAAAATCCTTGGGTTGAGATTTGAGAAACTATGATGAAATGAAATAAGATTATAATTGACTAGGAAACAACATATCAAAATACGAAATATTTTGCTTTCCTGCCTTCTAGATATAACGTGAAAGTAAATGGAAGTTGGCTCAAGTGCGACAAGAGCCAGACCGGGCAAAAGATTTAGTCGCGCCGTGGTCAACTCTTCCCTGGCGCGGGGATCACTGTTACTCTGTGAAAATTTCCAGGACTTACCTATGTTCTGCTAATAAACAAATGATTGTTTCATATACACACCATTCTAAGATACTAAATATTTTCTAATTTATTCAAGGTTGATAAATTGTTAAATTATTGTAAATACCCGTATTTGAATTCTCAAAATGTTGTCATCTGTATTACACACAAAAATCAAAATGTAGTTGGATGCAAAATATTCAAAGCTTTCACTAACTTCATGATGAAGATCGCGTACTCTTAGACAAGGCACTGGGATGAAAGAAAGAAATACACAAAATGGTTAAATCATTAAACTTTCCACAAAACATGTTACCAAAATATGGTAACATTGTTAATATATATAACAACAACCGTTCGTCGAATTTTATTGCTAAACTATTTATTCAAAGTTCAATAAATGAGAGTGAAAAAGTTTTTCCATTTCATTTCATAATCCAGAAGGGCATTTCATTTCTGAAAGAAAAAGAAAGAGAAAGAAAAAGAAGGAAGGAAGAAAGAAACAAAAATAGAGAAAGTCGCGTTTCCTTTCTTGGATTTGCTCCTGAAAATCTTGAAACTTAATTCTCTTCTTTGAAATTTTTTAAAATCCCAAATTTCATTTTATCATGTCTCAAACCCTAAATAAAATTAATTATAAGCACGTGTCATTTGTTAAGCGACAGCTTCACAACATTGCATTCTTAGCCCCGCCCCATCGCCACCCCTCTACGCCACGCTTTTCACAGTTCCCTTCCTATTGACATTATTATTTATCCTGTAGGCATACATCGCAATGACAAATCAGAAAACGAAAAATTAGATCAAGATAATAAAATTTTCCACATTTCCAAGTTTTCTCCAAAGGGCAATTGATTTCAAATGTCTCTTTCTTTCGCTCAAATAAAGTTCACATTTTTTTCAGATCAAAGGAGAAGTTCGCTGGCATCTGTTTGACGAGTTCAATGCTACTGTGGTGTGCATAAGTATCGACGCCGAAGCAGTCTGAAGCTGTTCAGCGGCCCTTATGCTCCAGATCGCAACAGTACTAGTCTCAAATGAGAAAGAGATTGTTCATTGTACATAGTAATTTTATTAAAATTGTATACCTTTTAGTTTATTATTGTTAATAAACATTTTATGCAAATTCTGTTTTCCATTGTTTGACTTATTTTAGGAAATTTCAATGAATAATCGAAGCCAAATTTTAAATCAATTAATCATTGATAACTACGGCTAGGATTGTTATGTAATAACTGCTTTTTCTATTAGCTTTAAATATATGCATATTGTAATTTTCCCACTGAACAATGTTTCTCGGGTGAAAAACGCAATTTTTATAGGGCTTGTTTTTACATATTTTGAGAGTCTTTATAATTGCATAATATCTTAAGCATATCGTTAGAATGATACATGTTTTGCTATTTTCACAGGAAAACGTCTAAAAATACAATTGTTAATTACTTTCTTGGTGTAGTTTTTAATAGTAATAAAATTAATAATAATAATAATAATAAATAATATGTTCATGACAATAGTTACTTTTGATTAGAAACGGATTATAATTTTTGTAAGACATTGAAATTTCGGCCTGGAAATTACCTATTTAGAGATAATCTAATCTGAGTTAGTTTTGACCAAACGCCTGATGCGCGTGAGCAATCTCTATGTAATGTAATTGTTGGTACGCTCGCTCAAAATGAAATTTCAAAGGCTTATCTTCTAGCGATTGCAGAAAACGTAGCGACAAATCGTACAATAATGGCGAATGTGTTCAATTATGCAATGTTGTTGTTATGGCCTGAAAGAATTAGATTTGAAAATGTAGTTTTATTCAAATCGGATGCGGCTCCATATATGATTAAAGCAGGAGGGAGCCAAAACTTCTTTATATGTATCATGTAACATGATAGGCACGTGCAGTTCACCGCCTGAGTGAAACTGTGAGCTCTACTTTTCCTACTGTTAATTCTTTAATATTAAGCGTTAAAAAGGTTTTCCTCAAATCTCCAACCAGAATCATTTTTTTTAACAATTGGCTCCGGACGTTCCACTTCGTCCTGAACCGATCATTACGAGATGAGAAACCTGGTTAGAGGCTGTATTGTCAACATTATCATTATTGCAAATGTATTGAAAAAACTTGATGAAAATGACGATAATAGCGTTGTTGAAGGGAAGGTTGCTATATGTAGAGATGGAATAAAGGTGGACTTAATTTATATTAACACACTTCAACTGCATTTCCATAGCAGTCACAACGCTTGAACAAAATGACGTGCCACTTGTCACAAATATAAAAATAGAAACTCTCGTACACGAGGATAATTTGCGCCAGGATAATTTGCAAAGGTTGTAGTAGAAAAATTTAAGAACATACTAGAAAAAAATCCGGGTTACCGTACATTACATTTGGCCTGTATCATGGCCAGTAAAACGGAGAGCAACTTTTCAGACACTGAAGGAACATTGCAGCTGGAAGAAATAGTAAACTTTAATATTCTTCAATAAAATCTGTGGTAGCTGAAAGTTGTTTTCCCAGTCCAAATCAATTTTGAGAAGCAACAGAGAATCGTTTCTGTTTTCAAACGTTTAAAACGACGACTGTTATTCACTGCAATGGAAAAAAATTAATTGACCTTCAGAAACAGTTTTAGTCCATAATTCAAGTGCGGTGTCCTAATTTCCATTATTTTGGTAGACTACGAGTATATGTTACTTAGATCTTCAGTGATAAATAAAACGGACGGCAACAAATTGTGATAATTTCATCATTTTATGAGGTTTGTATAGTACATATTTTCTGAGTTAATGCAACGTAAATGTCTGTTTTAAATCTCATAATTACATACTTATTTTAAATTTTAATGCATAATTATCCGAGCCCTATTGGTAACAAACAATTGATCATCTTTCCGGTTCAAATACTTCGAAATTTTCAGAAGTAGTGAATGGCCTCGAAAAGTTGACAAAAGAGTTATCCAAGGTACGAAAATGTGTTCTTTTCTTCAACACCCAAGAAAATGTGATAAACAAAAAAATTCACATCAAACTGTGTGTTCTTACACATTTTTTGCTGGTTTAGAAATAAATGTCAAATTTTAATTTCACAGTTTTTCTCTAGTTAACTTACCAAATCTTCTGACCTAAGTATGCAGGTATGGCGTACGTTATTGCTGAGATATAATTTACTTTATAGTGACTTCGTATTTTTAACCCAAGAGAACAATAGAGTAAGTAATATAGAAAGTACTTTGGAAGAAACGTTAATTTTTATTGTCGGTGAAATGGTATTTTAGAATAGTGTGTTTGGAATCTCAACATGTAAATTCACATCATGTTATAAGCATCAGTTTTTAATTTCATCAATGAAACATCCAAAAAGTGTTGACAATGTAGAATTTTTTGCAGAAGTGCACCTCATGTATTCTTAGCGAGCTGAGTTAATGTCTTGCGAGTCACTAATTTTCCAGAACATATCTGCATTAATAATACTGTGACTCATGATACTAACCACAGAGAAAAGCACACGATTACGTGAAACTCGGGAGTGTCGGTGAGAGGAGGGGGAGGAGGAGGAGAAGAAAATCGACGCACTGCCTCCACCACGTGAAGAGCGAAGGATAATGGGGGCCAGGTGTGCTGGGGGATATCACACTGCGTGCCTGCACTCGAGATACCGCAGCGCGGCCCAGCTGCAAGTTTTGCGTAAGAGCACTGACCAGACATTGACCGGTTCTAGGCAACTGTTCCCAACGACATGCAGCCGTCGTAAATACCCTTTCTTTCATTGCGCAACCAGAAGGAATGCAACCGGAAGTTCTGATATATTCGGACTATTCACAGTTTTATGTCTGTTAATACAACTAAACAACTAGTGGTGCTAAAACAACACATACTCTCTAGCCCGTATTTTCACGCAAAATTCCGCAAAAAGTCCTCAAATTTTCGAATAATCATACATGTATATTTCAAAATTGATCTTTAAGGAAAAGATTTCATTCAGAGAAAAAATCTCTATCCTTAGTATTTTTGTTGTAAGAAGACTCCGAAAATAATTTAAACATTTGCAATTTCTGAAAAATTGAGTTTTTAACCAATATGATACCAAGTAGTTCGAGTATGAAATTTAAATTTGTGTAAATGTGTTTTTATTTTATTTGTTCTGAATAGCAATTTTAATGAAGGTATTATTTTTATTCGTATTCTGTTTGTTTAAATGTGTAATGTCATGAGCAAAGGAAGTTGGATAATAATTATTCCCTTAATTAAATAGCATGACACCATTGTTTAGACTTATATTTGAAGGGCTCGTTTTTATTGGCAATATTAGAATCCATAGATTCCTTCCAATATACTAAATTCTCGACAGAATTCTCATATGAACTTTTTTCCCTGAGCCACAAATGGAAAAGCCCTGAGATTAATTGCGATAAGTATACATAGAGCTTGCCACCACAGGGAATTACTGATAGAAGAGAATTTCAAAGCACAAAATATTTGGTTTAAAGTAGGATACACGGTACACTCTCAGAGAAGCGTGGCGGCGGGGTCTCTTTTAATCCCTCCCCCAAATGACACTACGCGCTTTGATAGAAATGAATAAAACTTACGGATAGGCGATTTTCGTCTCGCCCTTCATACGCTTTGTTCCCGCTGCATCGTAATGGCATTTATTTTCAAGTTCTCTCTTTTCGCTAGCCTCGAAGTCACGGCAAGGATCGGGCCTTCGGCCCTCGCGATCACTATAAACATCCTTGAGCCTATCCACTGCATAATTACCAATTCACTTTTATAAGAAAACACTTTTCAAGAAAGTCACCATAATTCAAACTGCGCAGTTATCGCCGGAACGGCGCGAAGTGCCGGTTTAAAAAGACTTCCGTAAGTTGTACCATATACTAGACTTCAACCAATATTTGTTAACATAAAGGTTGTTTTGAAGATTAATTAAGTAAAAGAAGGGCAAGACGGGTAGTATTGGAATACTTATCAAAAATTTTGTTTTGTTAGGTCTTCTTAGGTTCTTTCGGTTCCCCAATAATATAATTGAAATTTAATTTTAAGAAAATCATAGAAGAACAAATTCATCACACTTAGTTGGAAAATGTTCAGTAAGTTTGTGAGAAAACTTAAGTGAACCTGGAAATGTGCAATTTTTAACTTTTTTCACTTACGAAATTTTGTAAGACTTCGAGGAACTTTATAAAAAATTAATTTAAGTATTTGTTTTCGCTGGGTGAATTTAAAAAAATTATCATTAACTGTATCCCACTTTAGACCCAAGGTTTACTAACATGTTACTAACATGTCAAATATATCTGACAAGAGTTTCTACATTATTCAAGTTCAAAGCTTCTGAGATTTTCGGATTTTCGTGCGCAACTTGCATATGGGAAAGCAAACTTTAACACACCCGGTAATTTTCTGCTTTCGAAGTCTTTGCTTTTAAACTTTGTACACATTGGTGCAATTTATAAGGTAGTAATTCTACTATCACACTACTTGTTTATCAGTTTCAATTATTCAGGAAACTTATTTGGCCATATTTAAGACGATCCATTTCTTGAAAACGATTGTATTTTTTAAAACATTATTTTATTTTCACAGAGCAACGTTTCGAATCTCACAATTTGCCTTATCATCAGACTAAAATATATACATTCCTTTGAATACTATACATTTTGTTACAACATAAAAAGGTTTCCCAATATAAGACTTATTAAACTCACCTTCGTGTGTGATAGGAACATTTCACAGAAGAATAAAAACATTATTAGGCAGATAAAAAAAGGTCATAACAATTGAAATATTAAAAATCCAGTCATCATGACGGACTATTGGTCTGGCGTGCTAATTGTGAAAAAACTGTTTTGATGCAGAACGGTCAAAGAGAAGCAAAGTGAGGCAAGAAAGGTTGTCCAAGGATTGCCAACCCAAAAAATATCCAAACATAAAATTTGTATTTTATAACAACATTAAAACATTAACAAATTCATTCCTTAAAATTACTCAACACACTATCATACAGTCTAATGAAGTTTTTAGATTCAATCTGAGTTGCAAAGAATTAGGAGTTTTAATAAATAAAGTTTCCAATACCAATCTCGAATGCGTTCTTTTTTCTTTGGCTA